AAGCTTTTCCCTTTACTTTATATATAGTAAAGGTTCCCTTATCTCCCTTATTATCGGATTCTAATAAGGCGCGGGTAACTTATATCTTTACTATCCTCCTTATTAAAAGGTAAGGGTAAGACCTAACTATATATATACTTACGCTATAACGTATATAGCGGCCCTCTTTATATCGTTTACTAATTTCCTTATAGGGCACTTACTTAGCCGTCTTATTAAACTACGCCGCTAGCGGAGTAGCTAGGGTCTTACTATTACTACGCCCCTTAGGGCGTATAGCCGCTATTTAAACGTCGCCGTTTATATCGACCGCCGCCTTAAGAGCGGGCCTAGGTATAAATAGGTTAAGTAGGAAGGAACTATTTAGCCCGTTAGTCCCGCTTAAGGCTAAGCACTTATATAGCTTTTAAAAGTATAGCGTTTACTTATATCCTTAAGCTACTTTTATAAGGCGGGCTATATAGCCCTTATAGGTAAAGGGTATTATAACAAGGATAAGTAGCTCTTAAAGTGCTAGGGAGATTAAGTTTTATAGCTAGGTAAGCTTAGCGCCGTCCTCCTAAGTAGTATTACCCGCCGCTTAGGTTAGGGTCTCTTTAAATTCTAATAAGAACTCCCTAAAAGACTACCCCTTATACTAAGTAAGGGTCTATAGCTTATCCTATGCTTTCTCCTACTCTTATATATTGCTAAAGGTATAGACTAAGTAGTTAAAGAATACTTAGGGGTGTTTTATCCCTTTAGGACCGCCCTACTCTTAAAAGCCCGCTACTCGCTATATCTAGGGCTCTAGTAGTATATAAAGGAGCGAGAACTAAACTATCTCCTTATAGCTATTAAGTCCTTATTTCTTATTAATATAGTATTTTACTATTAAGCGGTTAAGGAAGAAGTAAAAGGTTTTTAGCTTATTATCTTAGGTAGGCTATAGTAATAGCTTCTATCTACTAAGGGCCGCCTTATATTTTAACCTCTTAGTAGTAGGGGGCGTATTTATTAGAGCTAGTATTAAGAGGGTATTAAGGATCTAGTATAAGGTTGCTCGTTAGTCTAAGTCTTATAATATTTAGTAGAATAGCTTTATAAATTAAGCTTATTTATCCCGTTACTACTAAGCCTCTTTTTATAGGTATTACTAGTATAGCTCTTCTACTTATTACTCTAGCTATTAGTACTAAGCTTCTTCTTATAGTAGCTACTACTACTACTACTACCTTAGCTAGTACTACTAAGGTTTTAATATTAAGTCTAATATAAGGATAGCTTATACTATTATAGGGTAGGTAAAGGGTTATACTATAGGTGCCTTTTATTATATTATAATAATAAGCTATATAGGATCTAACTATATGCTGCGCTTACTACTATTAAATACGCGTTTATATATATAGCTTACCTTACCTTATAACGCTTTCGGCTAAGGTCTAGGCTAATGCCTAGACCTATATAAATACCCTTATACTAGCACCCTCTTTTTAGATATAAAGGGCGCCTTTAATTTCGTATTAAAGGAATAGCTTATAAGGGTCTTAAGGGACTTAAACCTCCTTAAGGCCCTTATAAGCTAGGTAGACTACTTCCTTACTAAAAAGAAGATCTAGCTAGCCTTTAAGGGGTAAGTCTAGCCCCTTATAGACCTAGTAATAAGGGTGCCTTAAGGGTCCTTTATTAGCCTTATTTTATTCCTCTTATATATTAGGGGATACTAGTAGCTAAGGGATACTAGCTATCTTATATAGATAACTTTAATATCTTTATAACGTCGACCTCGGCTAAGAAGAACGTTCGGTAGCTAGAAGTAATAGCTACTAACCTATTCGAATAAGCTAAGGACTAAGGGGTCTACTTTAACCTCTTAAAGATAGAACTTATCTACTTTAGTAGGTAAAGGCAGCTTATTTTAAAGGGTATAATAGTAAGAGGCTTATTTTTTAAGGTAAAGCTCTTAGTATAGTAGCTAGGGGTCTTCTTTAATTCTAAGCTCCTATTTAAATAATATATTAAGAAGAAGGTAGCCTTTATATAAGCTGCTTTTAAAGGACTATCCTACCTAACCTCTATATAAAAAGGCCTATTATTTAGAGCCTTTAAATAGCTCTACTAAGCCTACGTAACCTCTATAATAAACTATAGGGCCTAGCTTTAGTATAAGGGGCCTAAGACCCTTAAGAGCCTTATAAAGCCTTTAAGCTCTTTTAAAGGTCTTAGGGGCCTTTAAAGGATCCCTTATTAAGGCTATAAAAGCTAAAGCGGCCCTACCGCTACTAAAGGTATAATTTAAAAGGGTATACTTCTCCTATACCCTCCGAACCCTATACTTCTTACCTAGTTACCTTATAAGGAAGGCTTACGACCTAGCTATATAAGATTACCTTACTAACTTAGGCTCCGACCTAAGGGCCTTAAGCTATATTAAGGTATATATATAGCTCTTCCGCCTCCTTAAAGGCCTAATAGCTCTTATAGAACCTAATTATAACTTTAAAAAAAGGAAAGCTAGCTAGGAGCCCTTATAAGCCTTAGAGCCTAAGGCCTTTATTACGATAATAAAGGCCCCTAAGCCCTTAGCTAAGAAGTAGTACTAATGCCTCTTAGCTAGCCTAGCTAGCTTAAAAGACTTTAGGTTACGGCCCCTAGCCTTTTATACTAACGGCTCTAAGGGGTGCCCTAAGGGGTCCCTTATAAAGACTAACGCTTACTTCTTTTACGAAATAGGCCTAGAAAATAAGCTTATTAAGGCGGACTATAAGAACCTAGGGCCCTCGATTAAAGTAGCTAACGTAGAGCTATTCGCGATACTAAAGGTCCTAAAGGACCTAGCTAAGAGGCCTTAGCCCTTAAGGCTTAGCCCCCTTAACCCCCTAATAAATACCTATATCTTTATAGATAGCTAAGCTACTATAAGGAAGGTTATAGGTTTCTTAGACCTAGCTATATATATTAAAAGGCTCCTATTTAGCTTAGAAACCTATTATAACGTATAGCTATACTAGTACCCTAGCTACCTAAGGCTCTTTAGTAACGAGCTAGCTAACTAGTTAGCTAAATAAGGCTTAAGGGCCCCTACCTAAGGGACCCCCTTAGTCTCTATTAGCTACTTATAAAGAAAGGTCTAGTAAGCTACTAAGGACTATTAAAAGGGACTCTAGGCTACCGAGGCGGCTAAAGTCCTTAGGGCTAAGGGCCTAGGTAAGTACTATATATTTATTCGAAGGATCCCCCGCCTAGCCCTTAGCCTAGAAAAGGACCTTATAGGGAGGCTAGGCCGACCCTCTTAGCCTTTTACTAGCTCCTCTTTAGGGACGGCTTCTTATTTTCCTTCTTAAAAAAGACTAATAAGGTAGACCGAGACGACTACCGCTTCGGCTAAGGAAGGCATACGGCTAGGCACCTTATCCTAAGGTGCCCGAACTATAGGAGGGAAAGAGAGGTCCTTTACCGGACCTCTAAGAGATAGAAGGGGGCCCTTAGCCTACTTATTCTCTATAACTCTAAGGAAGGAAGGGAAGCCCTTCTAACCTTCTTAGCTAAAACAGAGATAGGGACAGCTAAGTAGCTCGAAAAGGAGTAACCTAGGGGCCCTAAGGCCCTTAGGGGGGGAAATCACCGCGCAGGAGGAACTAGACTAACCTTTCCTTTATTATTGCCTTTATAGCTACCCTTTCCCTAATTAGTTATAAGCCCCCGGGCTCTATAGCTAGCTGGGACTGCTAATAGGGGCCTAGGCCCCTACTAGCCTCGCCAAGGCCCTAGAGGCTGCATGCGAGTAATGAAATAAAACGAAATTACTGCTAACTTGATTTCAATACTAGGGCTTTCGCCCCACCAACCCCTGGTGCCGAAAGGCAAGTTGTTCCGACTCGGGTTGCATCAGTAGTCACCGTCGGATTCAAAGTCGCTCGACAAAAAGAGCTGCATTTGTATTCTCGATGCCCGTGGCTTCGAGGGGGGGCGGGTTTCCAACCCATGATGTCCGGATTGATCGAGGCCCGGAACAGGTGACAACCAGACCCCAGGCCAATGCAATTCAGATAATAAACAGGATATGACCATGACGTGCCATTTTCTCTTTGTGCCACCTTGATTCACCACTTGCCAGTCTATTTCCAACCCAGACAACAACTTGGGAATTTTTGCAGACATCATGCCAGCCCCAAATCCCCTCAGCCATGTTCTCTGTCTGCTTGTTCTCGTCGCAATCGGAGCAACATCCGTTCTGGAACATGGGTGAGGATTTGGTCTCCAAGCTTGATAGCATTGTGTCCGAGACCAGAAACTCAAATAACGTGGTCCAATAGCTCTGCAGCTGCCCCTAGACTGCTGCACGCTCGCAAAGACGAGGCTCTTGACGACTCGGCCTGTTTTGCACAATGCGAGCTGGAGACCTGCGGAGGCTCGTCGTGCCCAATAGAGCGAAGCATTCTTCGGCGTAGCCTAAACTCGTTTGAACTTGATCATTTCGCTCAGCTTAATGAATCTGGTGCAGCGACGGGACATGACCTCTGGAAGCGAGTTTTTCGATACGACACCTCGTCGCTAAGGTATACCGGTGGCAAACCTCCTACTGTCGGGCAGCTTTCCAACTACCTCCCGGCTGTGTTCAACGGCGGAGAGATCCAACAATATGGTGCCCCGTTAACTTGCATCAATGGTAAAGGCCCAGTTAGCCAGCATTTTCCATAGTGTTTACGACCGTGCTAACAAGTCATGGTGAGTAGACGGGACAGAGCAGGCTGTCATGCACCAAAGAGAGTTTGGAGACGAGCCCTTCCAGATCATGACGGGGGGGGCTCCATGGTTGCACAATGGTGCGTGGTTTAACACGCTGTCAGCCCATATCGACTCGGGCCGCTGACTGGACCTCAAAATCAAGGTGACGCTTGTGTCTAGAAGAGCTGTATGGCAAGTGCGTCTCTCATCTAGCCCCGGTTACCCAAGACTAAACCCGAGTCTAATTGCGACGTCGTATAATCAAGGCACACTTTTGGGAGGTGTACTCGATGGGCGCCAACAACCCAGACGGGAAGAGGAACACTGCCTTCCAGCACAGGGTTCTCGACGCCATGGCAGGGTCGCGCACGAGCAGTCTGGTGGACGTTAGGAATGAAAACAACGTGATCAAGCCATATGTTCGGCCCGACGGGCCGGGCATCGACCCCGACCTTTTCAACCGCGACGACGACGAGACAACTCTGTATATCATGACCCCCTCGTCCCTGGGAAAGTCAAAGGACAAAGGCGCGAGAAACCCAACACGCGTTAAAGAGATGTCTAACAAAGTAAAAGAAATCCTCGGCCGTGAACCCCGGAAGGCTGAAATCATATATGAGGCTTTCAACTGGATAATTCCAGCCGAGGCAGCACAGGTAAATCTTTCGCACCGGGGCATGTGCTTATTTCAATACGATCCGAATAGCAATGGCAAGGGACAGAAGGCATGGCGTTTGTTTAACGAGGACAATTGGGCAACGGGGGTGGTTTCATAGGGGACCCTATCAACGTGTTTGATTTATTATAGCTTGGATAGAGAGGCGCGAGTTCCAAGCACCATCGTCTGCTTCTCGAAATTTCCAGGCCGATAGCAAGGGCTAGCAAAGGTAGTCAACCATGCTGCTTGAGTGTGGCTTTGAACAGGCTCGTCCGTATGCTCGTTACGATAAAAACCACAAAAGGCTCTATGCGACAAGTTTAACTCAAGCCACATGCAGTATCAGTTGGTTCCTATTATTGCAAGCTCCGCTTTGCCCCATCTTCAATAATGACAATGGCGAGTCTTGCCTGTGTACGAATCCACCTTTCGTTCATATATGCCCCTAGTTCAACATATGATACTTGGGTATATAAAATCTACTACGCTGTTATTCGTTATTCCGATAACGGGAAGCTTGTCCAAGATTCTTTCCAATCGCCTGCCCGATCTGGCCAGAGATCTCTCCAAACTTGGTCGGAACGTTCAGCCAACTCGGCCATCTTGATCAAGTCTTCATCATAATACCTGCGCTTCCATATCAAGACTTCTCTCGCAGACACTTTCTCGCCAGCATTGTCGCAGTCACCCCTTTCACATATCCAAGAGCGTGCGATCCACGTAAGTATATATGATGTTGTTACGTCGGAGTGACCACAGAAATTCGGTATGCGGGATATGCCACGAGGCTGCACTCTCAGGTACTGCAAAGTCTCCTTGGGACCCTGAGCGGCGGAAATAATGCGGAAAATGCAGCGTGCTAGGGCGGCATCTATGGCCGCGTTAGTAAAGACGAGTCGAAGCTGCTCCATGCATCCCTGGGTGTCTTCATTTATGTCATATGATGAGCTCGAAAAGAGGCACTCAGTAGCTGGAAGCATGCGCATCCACAGAGTCAACCTCTCGAGACGCGAGAATCTGCCCAAAGAGCGATATAGTTGGACTTCATGTCGATTGCCTTTGGTGCGAAGTATCGGGACTTGCAGTTCTCTTAGGCCTGGACAGCGTTGCTGAATTTTGTCTAGGTGCAGCAAGGAGACGTGTTCCGCTGTGTCTAGTCGAAGATGGCGCAACGTGCGGCCGTGATGGGTCAGTATTGCCTCTAGGGGCCTTTCCCTGATATGATAGTATAATGTCAGGCTGTCGAGCGGGTCGAGCACGGCTAGCATTGCACCTATAGCTTCGTCTTCAACACTAAGGGCAGTGTCGCCTTGGTTATTACCGGTATATACGGTACTCAATGGTAGCCCGAGGGAGCGAAGGGACTTGAATGTTCCATGTTCTGCTATCTGGAGTAAATCTTGAAGGGTTGAAGCTGGCAGCTGGCACAGAATATCCAGGTTTGTCAAGCAGGTAAAGTCTATGCGCCAGGTGCCAGAAAACAGATGCACGATATTAAAAGAAAGTCCGTCTAGTACAAGCGTATAAGGACGACCGATGCGATTGCATGTCCCGCTTGTCGGAAATCCTGGCCATAAAGGCCGGGGACTGCCATAGGCCGCGCGTTGGTAGGCAAGAGACGAGCCGTGCCCTTTTTCCTTTAGCCAGACGTGTTTCAGATTCGGCGCAGTATGAGCTATCATTTCTAAGACTGCCTCATAATTATAGTCGACTTGATCCTCACAATAGCCCGAGTGCTGCGCGACCAGGCTGTACAGGCACGGCGATGTTGCGAGAGCCCAGTCATCGTCGTCGATTTGGCGCGGGCTCTCCTTGACGTACCGGAGGCTTCTCAGGTCAAAGACGGGCATATGAAGACGACTTTGAGGATGGCGATGGTGGAGCGCGGCGAGGATGCCCCTCGGCAACTGCTCTGCCGACGCAAAGATGAAGTCAACAAGACCGTGCAGGCTCTTGAGCAATTGAACGAATGTGTGCCACAGGTCGTCTTGCTGATCTCTATTGTCTCTTGCTTGTGTGCCATACGGTCTAACCCAATGAAAAGGTTCAGCGGGCGGATAGAAGAATCGGTCGGGCGGGTGGCCCCATCCGCTTTCGTCATCTACTTGCTGGTCGCCGTCTAACTCGCACCGTTCTTCTTCTTGACCTCTAGCATAGTCGTATGCTTCATCGGGGAACAGAGGGTTGTAACCAATGACGGTAACTCGTCGCACATAGCCCATGCTCTGCCTAAGGCTCAAGATGGCGCTCCATCGTGCCACGTCCGACTGAAACTGCTCTCTGGTCCGAGTTGTGATTGTCATGCGCGCAAAGCGCTGCCTTGTTGTTGAAGCGCAGCAACGTTTGCTGACGAGCGAGAAGGAAAACAGGCTTTGGCGCCTGCCATCGCAGTACGGGAGATAGTCGCAGATGCGCTCCAGCACATCGAACGGAAGGCCGTCGAGCAAGGGGCTAGGCGTATAGCACCCCATTGCGCAAATCTATAGAAGGGGGCTTCAAGGTTGGGAAGACGCGCAAGCGAAGCTGGGAATCAAGAATGCAAAGAGGCGATGAAAGCGCAGGCCAAGGTGGTGGTCATGGCAGAGTAATTCGCTCAAACGCTCGTGGTCAGTTGGGGGAGAGCCTTGACTATAGAGGAACCTATTATAGTTATATCATTATTATTGGTCCGTCCCATTATAATAATGGGCTCCGCCATGTTCTCCGCCTTGGATACGACTTGACGGCCAAGTCCAAGTGTCAAGCAGGCGATGGCATAGCTTCAATGTCCGTCGAGAGTAGTGCCCAAGGCGGGGATGATCCTTTTGAAAAGCGTCTAATCCACCATGGCTGAATGGGGGATAAGGCAGACTTAACCCTCGGGCCTCGGCTCAGAAAGCATCCGCACTAACTTACGGAGCCGGCTTTTAGAAGTGCTTGCCTACGCTAAGATAGCCTATGTAAGGAACAAGAAAAGGGTAAAGCAAGGATATTTACCGCGCATATAAATCTGTATTTTCTTTTATTTTCCATAAATCAACTATGCTGAATAAAAAACTAAATATCACGACCTAAGCGCTAATTATACTCGTGCCCGCCCCCACCTTAAGGGGATTCGCTTTGGCTCACTTTAGTATAAAGACGCCGTACAGAGTTCCTCTGCAAGAAAAAAATTCTGCTGAGGTAGATGTTCTTGTCACTGTCGCGAACCAGATTTGACGTTCAATTGAACATACCACCTGAACAACAGGTGGCTTGATTTTTCGTGACAGTCACACTAAATGCCACTTGGCTATCGGCTTTCTAACCCGTTGCTAGCTGTCCCTGTCTTATCCGTTGTTTCTATAGAACGCTCTTTCCGGCCCTCCTAGTCTTTACAGCCCTTCTCTGCACCTCTGTAAAGCTCTCTAGACTGCTCTTTCCTTTTCCTTGTTTCTCTGTCTTGCCCCTTTGTGCTAAGAGGATATCTCAAGAACTGCAAATCCAGCTACGCTTCGCGACAAGTTCCGCACCTTTGTAAGCGGGGTGGAATGACTGCGCTGACGCCGTCTATTAATTAGTCCTACCCCTTACGAAGGCTGCGCCCAAGAGCAAGTAGACTCCTCGAGGTCCCAGGGGCCCCCGGCCACCGTGTAATTCGGGCTTCTATTAACTTTTACACTATCCCCCTCTACCCCGCTTAAAGAGCGCCGGCCTTATATGTGATATTTCTCTTCTTTATAGATAACGGCGAATTTAACAAGAAATCTATAGAATGCCCTAAAAACGGAATAAAGCGAAAAAGGCTGCCTCAACTAGCATAGCTTCTAACGCCTCCCTATCCGAGCCGGCACGGCTCTCAACGCCTCTACAGACCACACAGAGGGTGCCGAGCTGGCCCAGCTTCCAACGCTGCCCAAGCCGGCAGAGGAATTAGTTGAATAGCTTCACTTCCCCAACTACCTAGGCAACCTGCTTACACGGTGGTTTAAAAGCCCGACTTCACACGGTAGCCGGGGGCCCCTGGAATCTCGAGGAGTCTACTTTCTTTAGGCGCAGCCTTCGTGCATGTCGCCACATCGTAACATGAAGAACTTTTGAAAGATGCCTTGGTACGGAGTATAGTTAAACGTATTGGCCGGGGTAAATAAAATAATTAATGAGCACTGCTATTCGCACAACCAAATATATCTATTCGCATAACCTTTCTCCTTAGCGTCGGTCCAACGCCCGTAGTAAAGGTCTCGCGCCGCGCTAGGCCCCGCCACCTAATTAATATATATATCCCTAGGTACTAAGAGGACCTCCTTAAGTTACTGCAGCCTACCTACGTAATAGCGTTTCTACGTGTTATTAAGTGAGGCCAACGAGCTTAGATATAGCCTCGCTTATTATTATTATAATTAGATTAGCTTTAGTATCTATACTTTTTATTATTATCTATAACGTCGATTTTTTAGATAATATAGTTAACGTTAAGTTTAAACAACGTATAGATATTAAGAAAGAACCCCTTATTATAGTACTTAATATATTTTTAACTTATATATTAAGTATTATTAATAGTATTATTTCGAGATATACTTTATAACTAATCGCGCTCCTTATTATAATTACTCTTATATTTTATATTACTAGCGGTAAAAGTAAAGAAATATATAGAATTATAACTATTTACCTTAAAATAATTAAGATTAGTCTATTCCTATAATTAAGCTTTAATATATCTTCTATAGCGATACTAAGGTATTATATTATATTAATTATATTTTAATCCTTTTAGACTATCTATAATCCCTTACGCTTAGGTTTATACGCACTTACTATAGCGGCGTAGGTAAAAAGTAAAAACAGAAAAATTTTATAGAGCAGCTATAATATAAAGGCAAAGAGATTTATAAGCTTATTATACTTTTATAAATATATATTACTAGTAAAGAAGTCTATATTTAGATTAATATAGAGGCTATTTACGGAGGCGATAACTTTATAGTCCTTAGTAGTTTATAGCTTCCTAAGTACGCGAGTATAATAGCGTTATTTATAATTATTATAATAATTAAACTAGCTAATTTAAGGACTAAATTCTATATTATAGATAGCGCTTTTTAGCTTAAGATAATAGCTGTTTTCTATCTTTAAACAACTTAATAATATAAATATAATAGAGCTATCTTTTAGGCTTACTTAAGCCTTTAATAAGGAATTAGTTTAAAGTAGCGGTATATTTAAGCGTAAAGGCCTTAAGTCTATTAAGCTAAAAGCGGCGAATATAATAAAAATAAACCTTTAAAAGATAGTTAAGATATTTAGTAATATAATTTAAAAGATTAAAGAGGTATTATTAGACTATAGTTTACCTAGTAGCCTTAAAATAAGTATATATTTTACGAATTATTCCTTTGTTTTATTTTAGACTTCTTATTTTCTTAACCTTAGTCCTATTAAAGCTTAATATATATATAATCCTATAGAGAGTAATAGCCTTTTATAGCGTTATTATATAACTTATCGTAGCGCTTAAGCTACTATACTATATAATATAAAGTTATAAGGTATACTTTTAAAACTAAACTCGCTTAATATTAATAAAGAGGTATATTATTTTAGGCGTAGTTATTATATTAGTGTTCTAAAACTTAGTAATATTACCTAGGACGGCGGAAAGCGCTTAATAGGCATTATAAAGGTTAAAAGATAGTTATTTATATTTATTATAGGAATAGGAGCTAGATAAAACCGCAATAAAAAGTTTTAAATATAAAGTAGGTTATAATACTTATAAGAGTATTAAATAATTAAGTATATAAGATATCTATTTTTATCCTTTATATTACTTCCTATCCTTTTTATTTCCTTATACTATATCTACTTAAAATCGACCTATATAATTCTTTTAATTCCTTAGTTAAGTAAAACCACGTAACTAATCTTAATTATAATATATTCCCTTACTATAATAGCTATCGTTATTAGCCCTATCTTACTTTAAAGGAAAGATATTAAGGGTCGAAATAGAAATTTATAGTAAAAACTCTAATATATTTACTTAGTAGCCGTCGGTATTAATTAATTAATAACTAATAGTACTAGCTAACGTTAAAGACCCTTAAAAGATAAATAATAACGTAATTAATAGCGTGCTTACGGCCTATTAAGTACTCTTTCTAGTTAACCTACTTAAAATAAGGGTAGGAGTTTAGCGCTTCTTAAAAGATAATAAGATATACCTCGCTATAAGTTTATTAGCCCTTTATTAAACTAATAAGATTTAGGTAAGGCGATAGCTTCGCCTACTAAAATAGCTATAAATATAATACTATATAACTTCTATATTATATAGCTCGTTAGCCGTCCTATAAAGATCTTATAATACCTCTTTTAAAGTATTTAGCCGATATTAATATAAAAGTAAAAGTAAGAGAAACCCCTAAGAATTAGAGAATATTAAGTTACCGGCTTCTTCTTAAGTATATTACTAAATCGGGTTATCTATTAATTAGTATTAAGTTTCCTTAACTAAAGGGTAGGCCTAAGAAGGAAATAAAGCCTTTAACTAATAGGTATAGGAATAGTATAAGGCATATATATATAATAAAATAGAGAGTAAAGAATAAGGGCTAGTAATATAATAGATTAATCTTTAGCAAGCTCCCTTAAAGACTATATAACCTTACTTTATAATTATAAGATACCTTCTAGCCCTATACTTTTATTTAGAAAAGTTACTTTAGCTAGTAGTTAAAATTAACTAGCTCTCTACTATAGTTAAGTACTTTAAGCGTATAATAAATAAGGAGTATATACTATTATTAGTATAAGGGAAGGGGGGTTTAAGGGTTATTTTAAATAATATTCGCTATTCTACTTAGACTTAGTATCTATAACGAGATAGCTATATCTACTTACCTCTTTCCCTTACGTAAGTTAGCTAATATTGCTTATAGTAATATCCTTAGCTTCTTTTAACGCCCGTTCTTTTTAAAGGTCGTTAATAAATATCTATACTAGCTTCTAAATAGTATTATATTTAATTAATCCGTTCGATGCCTTTAGTACGTCCCTTAAAAATTTAAAATATACCTCTTTTAAATATAATATAAAGTAGTATTAGTAGCGCGTAGTATAGATTCCTTCCTCTACTATATTCGGCGCGTTTTAGTTACCTTAGACTTTTTAAGGGCTATAGTCGCTTTAGGAAGAGCCTATATTAAGTCGCTCGCTACTAACGATATATAAAAGAAAGCGTTATAAGTAAAAGCTTTTATTTAAGGTAAATAAAGCTATATATATTTTATAGTTAAAAAGCTAGTAATAGTAGCTATATAGCTACTACTAATAATAGTAATAGCCTAGATATTTTCTAACTATAATAAAAGGAAAACTTTAGTATTAATATACTTTATATAGAATTAGTAGCTAAATATAAGTAAGTTTAAGCGTATAACTTTAAGGCTCCTAAACTACTTATATAGGTTAAGTAGATTAGCGGGGTAGGTATTAAGTAATATCT